AGTCTTTCTGTTTTGCATACAAAATAAGATGTAAAAGCGTTTCCGGTTCCACTTTTTATTTAAAAACCGGCTCAGTACTGCATCGATAAAATGTTTGAATTGACCAAGTCCTGTATTTTGGGCGATTTCAAAATGGATGTAATAAAGTGGTAATTGAACCTCGTGTCATGCAATTTTAGTCTGAAATCATACTTGTGATTTCAAGTTGAACTCACGCTGCGCGCTCGTTCGATTTTGAAATGACGTGTATGATTTCAGCCCAAATTGCACTCCACTCAGTTCAATTACCATTATAAATCCTGAGTTATCTTAGCCAAGCTTTGAACAACTCCCGCCCCCATCCCACCCTGGGTGTAGAGGTATTGTGAGAGTTAAGTGTCTTGGCTATTGATGCAACACAATGACTCAGCCAGGGCTTGAAGCAGGGGATTGTGGGCTGGGCTGGATTGTTCAAAGCTGGGTTAAGATAACCCAGGATTAGTGTGAAATCTGATTTCAGATCTGAAAGCTCTAAAAGAAAATTTAGGATAATTGGTTTAGTCTACAATTTGATGATTGGATACTCTTCAAAGAATAGAGAAAATTATCATAGAAAGGCATTTGAACAAAAGGATTAAGAAACCCTGCTTAAAATTTAACTCTGGTTTAGCGGTAATCGGCCTTCAAACAACTGGGCCGGCAGAAAACTACCCTGCTTGAAATATGGAGTGCATTGTCTTTCCATCCGTAGTGCTGACTAATTTATGCATTGTTTTTATTTAATATTTAGATTTTGGTTTTTAGCCAGGCAGATAAAGCTTATTCTGGGTCCAGTTTATGTTAGCATGCAATGAAAACCCCATAATTCATTCTCTGATTATTGTTTCTCATCAGATTACAATCCTTTATCTGGCGATGGAGGAGGATTCAGCTACAGACCACCAAGAAGAGGTACGTATGTCAATGAGAGTCTTTGTTACATTTTTATCCAGATTAGTGATGGGGAATGAGGCATATGGAAGTGTAATATGGAGAATAAGCCACAGCTGATCAAAGAGTTATTGCAGCAAGTAGGGTCGCTAAAGGTTGCCTGGAATTGACAAAATTCACTACCTAACTTGTTTTGCTAGCCAGCTACACAACTCTTCACTTCAATTATTTTCGTTCTGTGATGTACAGCTAAAAAGCCTCTGACAAGAAAAGTTACCATGTGTGACCAGATTCAGCTAGTGGGGACACAAAGCTTCCAAAAGGTGCTCACACAGATGTGGTAGAGCAATCTTTCAATTGAATGTTGGAAGTAATCTTCATATGCTTTTGTCTTAGTTTTCCTTTACCTAGCTCTGCAATTGGTCCAGAAAAGTAAAAAGTTAAAGTAAATGAAAGCAAAAGCAATTGTCCTTGGATAATGTCATTTTCCTGTGCTTCAGCCAGTTTTCTTGTTTTTACCCCAAGTTCTCATTGTCTTTTGGTGATATTTTCTGTTTTTATTTACTGTTGTTGTCATGTTGGTTTGTCTTTCATTCATGATACTCAGTAGAATAGGTCTCTTGTTTATTACCTCACACATGGGGATTTTGTCATGACTAAGACACAATTCTGCAGCCACTATTGTTCAAATCAGCTTCTCTTTCTAAATTCTTTGGGTCTATCCCCGGCCAATTCTGTTGAAGAATAGGTTCAGCACCAAAGAAGAGAGTTCAGACTAGCTTCTTGGTGTCCAGCTGTCTTATATTTACCTTGAAAAGTGCTTGATGGACTTGTGTTATTTTAGGTGCAGGAGGCGGAGGATGAGGTTAAATCCACACACAGTCACTGAACAACCAATGGAGGCTTTAATTGTAGTTTTGTAAAATGTTGTAATACTAAAGAAATTCCTGTTAATGATGTGTGGCTCCAGAAAATATCCTTACCTTTCAGTACAAAGGGTGTCGTTCATAACTCTAACCAGGGAAGGTGTTTTTTTTTTTTCTCCTTAATTTCCTGAAATGGAGAGGTCTTACTTAACCCTTTAACTCGTACAAGTGATCAAGGTAGAATTTCTCCTCACCATAACAATATAATATCAAGTGGACAAGTGGGGAGAATAAAGATATCAATCAGGGATAATTGTAGTTGATCCAACACAAAATTCTCCAAACTCACATCAATAGAATCATTTGGCAGACAGTAAGGAGGGTTACTAACGAGACCTCGGAGATAAAAGGGTTGGAATTTTGGAGGTAGGGATTTTTTCTTGACTGCAACATTCCTCCTTTTTTTAGAAAAATTAACTTGGAAGCTTGTTTGTTTCAGTGACATGTTGTGTAGTTAATGACTTTTAAAATCTCCTTTTCTGAACACAGATCAGAGTGTATGACATTTGCCTTCTAAACACAATTGCTTGTGGAAGGTGAATTGATACTTTTTTCCAAAGGAGAAGTTCTGAAAAATGCACCATAAGGTGCGGATTAATAGCTGTGCAGCTTTTCATGGGAGATCAGAAAGATTGGGCAGTTCATATTATTTTGTAGTTTGCATGCATATCAAATAGTTGAATTAAAGTTACAAAATTAATAGAGTTATACAAGTATTTGACATATTATTTTACTAAGTAATCAATATGTAGTAACTGTGTATCAAGGTATTTTAATTATTAATTTATTACAATATTATAAGTAGCTTCTATTGGCTGAGAAAGTTTCTCTCAAAGTTTGCCAAAGGTATCAAGAATATTCAAGTTGGGGGTCAACAAAATGACACCAAAAGGAGAAAGGGAGTTGTATTTGGATTGTCTGTTAAATTCATGATTTAAGAACAGTGTGACTCAATGTTGTTGATAGATCAGCTGAGTATAGGATCATGTCGTGTGGCTGTTTTGCATAAAATTGCAATCTATGTGAAGAGGATTTCAATAGTGGCCTAAGATGAATATATGTGTGAACTTTACAGATAGTAAAGGTTCATTTGTAGAGCATTTTCTTGACACGAGTCTTTTAACAAAGGCTCATGTTGATCATTTAGTTTCCACTGTCGCTCAACAAGATTAAATTGTGCTGCAATTATGGGCAGATGGTGGGAAACACTGTTGAATACCGCTCCCTTAATCCTGGTATTTCCATATTGTGACTGAAGAAAGTGTCTTCTGGAAACTGTCTCAGCTTGGTGGTAAGATGGGAGAGAGGGAGGGGTTGGGAAGTCACTAGGATGGGTGTCACCCTGGGGGGGTGGGAGGTCACTAGGATGGGTGTCACCCTCATTTTTGTCCAAGTGGAAATTTAATTCATAAAATATGCTATAAAAAAAAAAAGATTTTCTTGTACAAATAATACATTGTAAGTGTACATTCAGAGAACAATTAATAAAGGAGTTTTGGGAAATCGCATTCATTTAATTTGAAATGTTTTCAGACACAATTTATTCTGCATGTTTGCCTAATTTGTATTTACAGGCCTTTTTGTTGCATAAAAAATTAATCTGTCAAAAATTTACACCTGTATGGTCAGTACATCATAAAATAAAGAGTGTATTTTGATAAAAATTTGATAATCATTACTTATAAAAGAAACTATTTCCCAATTCTTTTTGAAACCTCTGAGCTGAAAGCCCGTTGAATGAAATAACTTTTAACTACAAACAAGGAAATAAACAGCTGATTTATGCAATCTTAATGTACAAGTTCAAGACTTTTTGAATTTGTAATTCACAGAAGCTGGTTCATTTCCGTGAAGCATTTTCTGCTTTTTTCTATAAGTTTTTCTCATCTACGTGAGCCAAATACACTCAATTTCACCAAAAAGTGATTACGGTATATTTTTCATTGCATAGCAATCATGGTAACTTTGTGGTCTGTGATATTACTGCACCTTTAAAAACATGAAAGCTCTGAGCAAATGCTGAGCACTTACACTTCACAGAGGTAATATTCACTTGACAACAGCTCGTTAAAAAAAAAAGCCCCCTTTGATTTCATCACTCAGAGTTTGCATTTTTTAAAAATGTGCAGTTCAACAGCATGATTATAAACATCTATTTATTAACTAAACAGCAATTAAAAGTTGATCAGAATATTTACTACCAAAAGAATGCTGACCTAAGTTACAAACAGTTTCTTTTGAAAAAGCTTAGTATGAGAACAGGTTTGAAAGGAAAAGAAATTTTTTCTTGCAGTTTTGATTAAAAAGGGTTATGCAAGGAAAGGTAATGCTGAAACACATTCAAATAAAAAATTTTTGTGTGTAAAATGCCATGCAAATCCATTTAGTGATAGGGACCCTGTTTTACTAGTAAGTATTTTCACGATAATTGCATCTGAAATGTTTTCTAGGTTCCATTTTATCATCTAGTTACATATACCAAACTAAAAGTTGCTTGTACTGTGCATTGACTTCTCACAATATCTCAACAAAAATAACCATTAATTAGTAGTAAATGATAAATATCTTGTTGTTCTATACATCTAGTTAGTACCTGAGTAAATATGCCAGTGAGCTCATTAACTGAATGACGTGAATATATGAGGTGTAACTCCTGGCTTATTAGAGTACAATCAGGAATAATATTCATACACAGAAATTATATAATTATAATCAGCTGCATTGAAGTTAAACATAACTATATCTTATCTATCTTGGGTTGTCGAGGTTACGCATAAGTGCTTTTCACAATAACTTGCCGCCGGTCATCATACTTTGGCAAAACCAGCGGAGACTGTTCCACTTGGATGATCTAAAGAAATTAGATAATTAATTGACAATTAATGTGAAATCAATGCTTTGTTTTGATTCTTACAACTTGTAACAGCCATTAACTAGAACTTAAAAAAAAAATTTCAATTTTAAAGTGAAACTATACATAAGCTACACATGGTAGTTTTGTTCTGCTGAACTTCCCCATAACTGTGAACACGCACAGGCAATAGATTCACCAGGCATAAATTTTCATCAGCAACTACCATCTTTGGTAGCCCTCCACATCTCAAACCACAATTTTGTTTCTACCACAGAAGACAGGGACAGGAAGATTCTAAATTTTGTTTGTAAATTTTTTAGCCCCCTTTAGTTAGTGTCTGTTTCTTAAGAGACTACATGTACAACTGACTTAAATTTTACAGCTTTTAAATATTTATAGATGAGGGGGACTGAGGCTAGTTTTGATTGTTGATAGCATTTTATATTAACTATCCACAACCAAAACTAGCCACAACTAACCTCAAATTAAAATTTCCCAATCAATGGAGAGTTTGGTAACCTCAAGCATGGTTTACAAGTGGAAATCAGAATTTACTGTGTCCAGTGGTTCAAGATCTCCCCAGAAAAAATGTGTGATACTTTGATCTTAGACAAGGACATTCATTCTTCTATAATTGTTTTATTTCACTCAGAAGTGGGAAAGAAGGGGTTAAAATTTTTAATTATTTCATGAAAAGTTTCAGAAGTTGATTAATTCTTACCTCTCTGTGTTTATTTGGTTTGATGTTAGTACTAGCTGCTTCCAGTAGGAGCCTCACATTCTGCATTGAGCGCCCACTTGCTATCTGCAATGGAGTGTTTCCTGAGAAACTACCCTCACTAGCACTGGCGCCGCATTTCAGTAATTCTTGTATAACTTCCATGTTTTCCATTTCTACTGCATGATGTAGAGGTGTACGGCCACCTTTTCCGTCCTTAAATATTTAGAAGAAAAAAAAGAGGATTTGCCTTTTGTAAGAGGGAAGTTGAGTGTTTCTAAGTTAGGTTGCCTTTGATGTTTCCTCCATTTAATATAAATAACACTGTTGGGTGCTTAAGTTGAAAAAAAATTACCTGAAATTCATGTCCAAGATTTATAGAAGCCGGCATAGATGACAAGCATATGTCTGGGGTGGATCCAGGATTTAGTCAAGGGGGATTCAGAGAATTGTTCCCCTTTTGAAGGGTTGAAGATTTTGAAAATTAGGTCTTGGGAAACATGATTTCCAGCATTCTGAGGGAAAATTTAGGGGGGTTTGACCGAACCACTCCAGGATCCGCCCCAGTAAGTCTATTCAACGTAAAATTAGTTGAATTTTCTTTAGGTAGATGTCATGAACACACTTGAATACTGAGCTTATTTTAAGATCCTTTGTATTGTGGACCTGCACCTGGCTCCAAATGAGCATGTTTGCTAGCTTCTTCTTAGGTTGCTAGGGAACAAGAGCATGGCACATCCTAATGCAACTTAATATGAAGTATCTTTTATTAACAAGGGATTTTTGGATCAAGGTCAGTATCTGAGGAACTACACACCCACCCCTCCCCCTAACCCACCCTTCTCCCCTAACCCATCCCTCTCCCCTAACCCACTCCTCTCCCCTAACCCACTCCTCTCCCCTAACCCACTCCTCTCCCCTAACCCACTCCTCTCCCCTAACTCACCCCTCTCCCCTAACCCACCCCTCTCTCCTAACTGGGCAACAGCCAACTGGTAACAAGTTAGGGTTAATGTTGGGATGGGGGGGAGGGGTAGGTGTGCAGTTCCTCAGACACTGGCATGGACCCAGATTTTTAAAGTAATTGTTGAATAGATAAAACTCTCCATTGACTCACCTTACAATTTACTTTTGCACCCTGTCTGATTAAATATGTCACTGCACCACAGCAACCTGCAAGTACAGCTTCATGAAGAGGAGTGTAGCCATTAAAATTCTGTAACTCCAGGTTGGGAGCATTCCTTGCCTTTACAAGTGTTTCTAAGCATTCTACACTTGCTCTGTTGCAAGCCAGATGAGTCGGTGTTTGACCATTACGATCAGGCAAGTTCACGTTTGCTCCCGCAGACACAAGTTTTTCTACTATACAAGGTTGTTCTGTAATGACAGCCAAGTGTAATGGTGTTTGTTTCAGGTTGTTATAAATGTCCAGTGTTAAGCATGACATAAGGCTAATCAGGTATTCTACCAGTTGGGTGTTGCCATGAGCGATGGCTATGTGAAGAGGCCTGCAAATAATTGAAAATTATTGCTTGTTATCATAAATGTTTTCTAAGAGTATTAGTGCATAATACAATAAACTGAGGCTTTGTTAATTTAATTTTATAACTGAAAGCTCTTTATCAATTTTATTATCACAATCCCATCCAGGCCTTCCCTTCCCCCATGCTTTTCTTCAATTCCTATTTCTTATCTTTAACCCTCTGTCATTCCCTACCTTTCTATAACCTAGTGCTTTCCTTCTCTCCTATCTCTAGCTCTCTTGTATTTCAACCCAACAGACTGCCGCAAGTTAGCTTTTGGCAGACCTCTACCCCTACAATCTACTCCACAATTTCGTCGGATTTGCCTCTTCCCAATTGAAAAAACAGTCATTCCTACCTTTGCAAGCAATGGATTAGATAATAAGTAAACATGAAAATCCACATTGAAAAAAAACTTACGTATCGCCATCTTCATCTTGAAGTGTTGCAAGGTGACATTCAGTGGCTGACAGGAGACTCATTGTCGCCACGTTATCACTCATCAGTTTGGGTTCCGGACTGACTGGTGTGGCTGGTTTAACTGCTGGTTTGACAACCGGTTTAAATTCTGGCTGAACTGAAACTAAACCATAGCAAGCTCTGTCATTTAGACTGTCTCAAACATGAGGTGCATTGTATAAGCCATGTTAAAGCTGGATATTAAAAGGTTTTTATTGAAAGTACATCGTCCTTAGGTTAGCGACAATTTATGAAAAAAAATTTAAATTTTTCTGTCTGAGTCCTGTTGCACTGGACTGACCGTGTATTACTCATTAGCGGGAGTCCCCATGGGCCAAGGCTAAAAGGCGACTTCTTCCTCAGGGGATCTCCCTGAGAAAATCACATCCTTAGAAATGTCCAACGGGGAAGAATTAAACTTGGAAACTGATTGTTGGTTGTTTCCTTTGATAATTTCTATCTTATTTGTCTTCAGAGAGTTCAAAATGTTTTTATTATTTCCTTTTTTCACACCGATACAGGTAACCCCAGGAGTTTGGGGGTGACTAATATCTTTTTCACGTTAACGCAGAGTAAGGGTATTATTGGGACTTTCCCAAATAAACCGGAAACTTGAGAGCACGTGAAATATTAAACGTAATTCGGGGCTCTCCCCCGATTTGTGCCAAGTCACTGGCTCGACATTTAGTCAAATGCTTTTTGACTAAAAATCCTATAAACTGTTCAATGGCTCTGTGATAGACGATGACATAAGAAAAATGCAGTGATTTTCAATTTTGATGATTACGTGCATGTACTCGTGCCAGACGTATTAAATGTTCTTCATCAAATGAAGTTATCTTTCAAATGAAAGTAAAAGTAAATGTTTGATTTCGTTTCTCGCTTATTTCACACTTGTGTCCACTTGTTTCTCCACATTGTAGCAGTACGCATCTAGAATGTGTTTTCCACTCAGTTGTGATATAAAATATCATTAAAAATCATATTTTGTTCAATGTAACAAATGAATAATAATTATCCTCTTCGTCGACGCATGCATTTATCGAAAATTACACAATATACCTTGTAAGCATCTCATTTTGCCGTTCTCTTTTTTTAATAACTGTTTAAATATCAAACAAGCCATTGCTCTTCAAGAGATAACTGGGAATATTCTTCTATAAGATTCGACGATTGGGATGAAATCACAAAACTGCTTGCGTATACAGAATTTTTCTAATAAGCGACAAGGTCACCTTTCGATACCTTACCTTCCATCGTCCGTGGTAAAATAGGTCTGGGCCGTTTCGTCACAGGTTCCTCTCTTTTACTGAGAGAACTTTCTGACTTGACAGTTTTAGCAGCTACAATAACATTTGTGGCTTGAAATTTTCGCTTCTCCGCCAGTTTTTGCTGTCCGCGTTTTATTACAGGTGCTGTACCACCAATATCAGTAAGCTGTGTTTTGGTGCTCACTCCGTAGGTTCGAGTCGCTTTTCCCCTATTAGGAGCGACAACTAGCGGATGAAGTCTTCTGTCCAAACCTTGCTCGTGATGTCGGGTCATCGGGGAAACTCTAGCAGTCAGTTTCCTTTTAATTATGTCCTTACTTGTCTGTTGAATAGAGGCATCGAAGTTCGCTTGTTGTAGAGCGGAAGTAACTAAAGAGCCGTTCGATCTCAAATCAGCGTCGCTAACATCGAATTTATATCTTTCTTCCATTGTTGATCCAAACCCTGTCGTACTAACCATTTCTTAATCACTAAAATATCACTTGACTCAATGCACCAGCCACATAAATAAGTTACATGCAAAACTGCAAGCGAAGTCCCTCGTTTGAAGCACAGGATGCAATAAGGTATATTTTTAACCTTCGCTCATTCTTAACCAATCAGAGTGCACGTCACTAAGCAAGCAGTCGAAGGGACTTTCCCGTTTTGGTTTCGCTTTTCAGAGATCACCAATATTCAGATTCTTCCTGTTTCAGTTCTCTACTGCTCCAGCTCTTCCTTACTGTTGTAACAATTTTTTTCAGAAAGGTGAAAAGTAGTTCATTACAATCGGCTGAAGAGAATTTTGGGAAATCCCCTCAGCGGGCAGATATGAATTAAAATTGTTAAAAAAGTTCTCGTGCACTCTCTATGTTCTTGTCACGAAATGTTTTGCGTGACGAGATAGGATTAATTTCCTCATTTTATTAGAATATTATTAATGAGAGAAAATGTTGACGAACTCAGGTTATTACGGGTGTTTTGATAGGTTTGTTCTTTAGCTCTGTATATGCCATGTCCCTTTTGTTTCTCTTGTTCGTATTCACTCCAAGAAGGATGTTTACATTTATGACTCAATCCCCCCTCTCCTATAATTTACTTACCCTAGAAAACTGTTTGTTAATTTATTTATATCATTACGATTCCCAACTTGAAGTTTCTTTTCTGGATCTGCATTTCTTAGGAACGTTTTTCTCGAGTTTAAGAACGGAGAAAGGAGTTGTTCTTCTTTAAAATTAAAAATATCTGTCATTTTGTTCAGTTCAACATGAAATGACTCTCCATTCATATCATTTTGAAGAGAAAGAAAATTTATTCAAAGCTTCTTCCTCTCACCTCAAAAGAACTAGTTCGTTACTGAGGACTCACATTTCTTGAAAAATTTTTTTTGTTTCAGAGTTAAATCAACTCACGTGAAAGTTGTTGCAGAAACGCCAGTCGCGATCGATTTTAAAAATCCATCATAAATTATGAACTTTTTTCGGGTGAAACAAGAGAATAATAATTTTTCGCCATATATTTTCAATCTCTAATTTCCAAATTTATATACACATTCTCAAATTTTTTGTTTTTGTTTTTTATTTTTAAGTTTCCTTCTGTAAAAAAAAAACTTCCCACGATACGAAAACTGCAAATTTTTCCCAAGTCATGGTAAGAATTAAGGAATATTTCCCTTAGATGGTAACACTATTACTTCTAATAATAGTAGAAATGTTTGAGTTATTACGATTGCAACATACTGGTTATATGAACGTAACAGACGCGTTCTAGAAAGTACTCCTCAGCCCACCCTGGAAGGATATTTTTTCCTTTGTTTGGTTGCTATGACATCACAAACGAACTGTCAAGGTTAAAATTAAGTCACGTGACTATCCTGTATCATGGCGGCGAGAACAAACGGCGTACTATTCGTTAAGTGACTGTTATGTACGATAAAAAAATCAGCCTAATAGTAGGTTTTACTCGAGGCGATTCGTTATTCCACTAATGTACAAATGTCTTTGACAATGCACAGTACTCGTGCAATGGACAGTACTTCGAAGATTTCGCATGTCAGTTCCGGCGCCGTGAAAAATACCAGTCGTCCAGTTGGGACAGCCAAACACAGAAGTTCTTTTACTCCAAGAGCTCTACCCAAAGGACCAGGTCCTTTGCCTGATAAACCCTCGATGAATAGAGCAAGTGTGAAATTTGTCCCCCAACCTAGTCGCAATCATGCAAGTACTTCAAAAGGATCAAACTCTCTATCTTCTGCATCTCAGTACGACACTTCCAAAAAATCATATACATCAGAATCTCCCACAACACGACGGAAAGTTTCAGATGACTCTGGTTACGGAAGTACCTCTGGAAAAGGTAGGACAGGTAATTACAGATATGGTGGACTATCAAATGGACGAAAGTCAAAATCGCTCTCGTGTTTGGGACCAAACACAGATCTTTCTACACCATACAGTGTAGATTATTATGAAGATAAATACGCGACTAGAAATTGGTCCACTCAGAGAAACAAAAACTCCAAACCAACATTATATGAGAGTAGTATTTCAGATAGCAGTCGTAATTGTCGATCTACAACGCATGCCGATTACAAAGATCCTTGGGGTGAAAGAACTGTAGCACTGAATGGGACTGGTACTAAGAGCGGACAATCGCATTCCTTGGAGAAATCAGGATCAAGCAAGAGTACTTATAATATTTTTCCTACGGACACGAGTCGAAAAAGTACCATAACTGCTGTGCCTGGATCAGATATGAGGTGTGCGAGAAAATCGTCGTTTAGCTCTTCTAATTCATCCCCTTCAAACTCGGTGAGTTATATGACAAATTTCTCTTCAGTTTAGCGTAAAATTTATCTCTTTTTGTAGTTATAATGACCACGGGATAATAAATTATGTTAATAACAATGCAGTAAGTGGTTTGAACCCGGGGGTAACATGTGAAGGTGTAGTCTGATCGTCCGGGTGAGTGTAGTCCTGAGAAGGACTGTTGTCGGTGGTAGTGACTGACGTTTTGACAACCTGTGTGGAAGTCATCATCAGAGTCAAGTGAATGATTGTTGTCAGTAGAATGTTCTTATTCCAGTTCATGTGAAATGATCGGTTGGTTTTGCCGTGATGTTATTGGCTGTAAGACTCAAGTGACGTAAGTCGGTCGTGATTGGTCTGTTTCGATCTGTTGGTAAAGTTAGGTCTTTCTTTTTCGGTCATTTGTGATGTTTATGTCGTGAATGAGTCGTTTGTATTCCGCTCCAAACTCAAAATCTGTGTTTCCGCGGCAAAACCTGGTGCATGCGTAAACGTTATTCAGCTCTGTCCAGCTAACGCTCTAAACATCAGGCTCCGGTTGTTCGCAGGGTGGATAATGCTAATATCCACTGGATGAATCTATCTCATTATTCCCCTCACCTACACAGCATCATATATTCTCACGAAATTCACCTCCTTAATATTATTTTGGCTCATTTAATTTTTATCACCAGTCCTGGATTAGACCCAATGTTAGTTGGTCACGGTGGCACAAATTTTCCTTTGTCCAGTAACAACAATCTGATGTTTAGTCCTCTACAAAGGATTATTTTTTTTCCTTGAAATCTACAACAGAGCTATTCAGTGGACTGCTGTCAATAGGCCATTTTACAGTTGTGTACTTAGTTGCCAAGCCTTTGATTCAGAGTGAGGCTGAAGGTGACCTTGTTGCGATAGACCTGTATCTACTTAGCATGATAACAAAGTGATTTACATTTGAAAGGCAGCAAGGTTTGTATCATAACAAGATCAACCCCAGCCTCACTCCCATTCAAAGGCTTGGCAACCAAGCACACAACTGTAAAATGGACTATTGTTTAACCTTGATCCCAACCCAATATCTGATTGTTAATTCTCCCATCTTACTGCTTCACATTTTCCTGTAAGTTAGTTACAAGAATTTGGTGTTCGATCATGATAACTTCTACTTGACTAGTTTGAGTATTCTCATTACCTGTTTGCTGGATAATGTATGGATATGATTGGGAGTTACTTGTAAATCACTTCTGAGAGTAAAAGAGCTATGGTAGCAGTTGTGCCCAGGATTCATACAAGGCTGGTGTCCACCATATAACAGAATACTTTAAAATTCTTTCTAACGATACCATGATCAAACAAAATCAGACAAACCCATCCTAAAGTTTCAAGTTTGGCAGTTACTTATTTTTTCCAAATTTGATATTTCACTATTTGGAACAAGGATGTTTTAAATGCACAAGTAAGTGGATCTGAACTTAGATGCAACCCCGGTATTAAAAGCAACAGATTCTTCTTTTTGCAATTCTATTCTGAATTTTCAAGAGGTTATTAGTGATTGTCAAATGGGTTAAATAAGAGTGATTAAAAACAACAGACAATTGACCAAATCGAAATATGGCGTCCAATTTGAATTACCATCATTTTGGACTTACTAGCCTCGTCTTGACATGGAAACACAAAAGGATCATCACATGTGTGAGAGGCTAGTAGGTCCAGAACAATGGCAATTCAAATTGGACGCCTTATTTCGATTCAGTCAATTAGAATCCTTTTTGTTTCTAATAAAAATGGGAGTAAATGGGAATGGATATCAGAATGGAATGGGAGGGGACCCTTTTTCTAAATTCGTGCCATTTTGAGAAGCACTGACTTGAAATGAGCTTTTATTTTAGGATAGTTATTTATTTGTGGAATTGTCATACATCGAAAGTGAGAGTATTTACTATTATTATCCAACTACACTCTGTAGAGTACAAATAACACCCAAGACGAGTACAAATATCACACAATGTTTGTACTCCAGAACCGGTTAAACAAGTTTTTTTACATCACACAAGCAGTGAATTAGATTAAAGTTACCCAAAAAAAAATAATGTCAGACAATTTAAATCATTTTTCTGATGGGGAAGAGTCAGAATGGCTGGTGCATATTAATTCAAGTTTATTAGATAGATTGAGTGAAGAAAAGCAGTTAGATGACAATAAAATTTCATCATTTATTGAAGAAAATAGAAACAGCAACACAACAATATGCCAAACCTGTCCCGCTTCACATACTTCTGTCATACACTCTCCGTAAATAAATATCTGCGAAATTCTCCCGCACTGAAATAACAATTTGGCATGTTGGATAATAAATAACTTAACAGTTGTTTTGTTGTGTGGTATGGCTGAGTAGTTTTACTCATTATTTGTATTTTGACTTGCCCTAAGGCCTTGTAAAATATGGGACAACTTGTAAAAACTCTCAGCGATACTACACTAAAAAACCTCTTATTAGATATATACAGTATATTTTTGTGCCCTTCAAGATATATGTTCTATATTTATCTTACTAGACATTTTGTTGTGTCTTATTGCAAGTATTTTTACTTGTTATTTGTATTCTGACTCACCCTAAGGGCTTGTAAAAATACAACACAACTTGTAAAAATACTCAGCAATACTACACGACAAAAAAATGTCTAATGAGTCAGTGCTCTCAATAAGATTTGAACTAGGTGGCTACCTCGGTACAGCACCTGCCGGAGAGCGACTTGAGTGCGACTTGAGCGTGGTAACGGCGACTTGAGCACAGTGAAAAATACCCGGCGATTCACAACCAAATACCTGCCTGAGCGCCGGCTGGTGCCGGGTCTTATTGAAAGCTCTGATGAGTCAGAGATATATAAATAATAGTATAATTTTGTGCCCTTCAAATATTTCCCATGTGAAGAACAAGGGTGATGAGTTATAGTGAATGTTACTGATAAATTCTGCACATTCATTTTGGTACAATCTGTTTAAAATGCATCCAGGTTGGGAGCTGAATACAGCTGTTTAACTGTTCAGCATTTCATGAGTTAGAAAAAACATTTTCAAACAAGAAAGCCTTTTTCTGGAATATGTTTTTACTGATTAGTGAACTGTACAAAGCAGCTATTTAGCTGCAGAAATTGCTACCTACTTTGTTTTATTTCTATTTGTGACATCTGTAATCAAATTTTTTTTAACAGTTTGTTCATAATTTGGCACACAGTAGAATGAAATTTTTTCTTTGTATGGGCCAGTAAATTTCTTTGGAATTAAAAATCCCTTATTACCCACACAATATTGTATTGTGTGGTTAATAGCTTATTAATATTGAGGTGCAACCTTTCCATGCGGAGATTACAAGTGAATTGGCTCAAACTTATTGAGATGTTACTTTGTTTTTGACATACTGACAAATTATGATATAAACACATTATGAGACTGTGAAAAAGTATTTTCTTGAGAGTTTGATTGTGATGAAACAGCCAATTCTCCTATCACATAACTTACAAGAGAATTTATGGCAGCTTTTTGAAGAAGAAAATTGCAAATAATAAAGATTCAATCAAACCTTTGTGGAGTATATAATTGCTATATGACAAAAAAAATATCGTCAAGGGAGTTCAGAAAGGTTCAATCCTTAACAGGAAAACTTGAATTTATTTAAAAAATTGTTTTTAAACAACCTACTGTTTGTTAGACATACAAGCATGGAGTGTCTTCAATGCTTAATTATTTATAGATTTGTCTCATTGAGTTTATTTTCTTTTGAATCTTCTACCTAGAATTATTTTCTGCCTTAAATTGAATTTTGAAATAATTTGGAGGGCTTTTTTTTCTTTAAATTACACCTACCAACATGCTATAGTTCTGTTTGGGAATGAGTTATTTTGACATTGTTTTAATTATCTGTCAAACAGAAATAATTTATTTACATATACCTATGAATACATTTACTTTTCATGGAACTTTGCCAGGTTTTGCAGCAATAAACCTGTTATCCTACAGACTGCAGTTTCCACTTTCCTTGTAATGATACCAGTTTTTCATTCAGTTTTCTCCTGTTTACAACGCAATTTTTGGAGTCAGGACAGATCTTCCAAATTCACCGTCAGAGCAAATTTCCAATGTACACATATCTTGTGGCAAAACAAATTCTGTCAGAAAATTTTTTAATTAAGCAAGTATAAGCATGTTTTGATGGAAGATTGAATAATCAGCAAGAAGAGGAATAAATCGTGGCTTTTGGATGTGAATGTTTAAGTTTTACACTGGGAGTTTATTTCTGTCTGTTGTGGGTCCTCTTGGTTAAAAGAAATTTGTCTTCAAGGAAAACTGTTAGTATGCTTTCACTTCTAATTTTATTTAGCAGTGCATAACGACAGCCTCTTATTTTGACTCTATCTAATATATAGCTGTTTATCTTATTTACAGATTTGAATGATTAAAATTCTATTGTACTGAATTTTATTTTGCAGTGCATATTAAACAACAGCCTCTTATCTTGACTCTATCTAATATATAGCTGTTTATCCTATTTACAGATTTGAATGATTAAAATTATATTGTACTGAAGTGCTTAAAGTAGAATTATGATCATTAATTGTTTTAAACTTGTTTGTTTTATCTTTTAGCCAACGGGAAGAGGCAGTTCAGATGGGTTAGTCGGTCTACGTAATCTAGGAAATACGGTAAGTAAATCTTTAGGTTTGAACTAACTCTCAACTAGGTAATTTGGTTATATCAACTCAGTTGAAATTGTAAATTGGCCACCGTAACAAATAAAAAAGCTGACATTTCAAGCATTAGCCCTTTCTAATCTTTCAAATCTGCACTCTTAATCCCACAGGTATCAACGAACGCTTTTCATTCCACTAATTTATTTGTGGTTTTCTCATTGCCATGTTCCCACCAATGGCGTACCTCCGCTTTTATATTTAAACCCACATATAACCCACAATTCCTCCATTTGCTCTGATGAAGCTAGGGCTAATGCTCGAAACGTCAGCTTTTTTATTCGTTACAGTGGCCAATTTACAATAATTTCAACTGAGTTGATATAACCAAATTTAGGAAGGGCTAACGCTTGAAACGTCAGCTTTTTTATTCGTTATGGTGGTCAATTTACAATTTCAACTGAGTTGATATAAGCAAATTCAGTACCTTGTTACCCCCACCGACACAGCAGCACAGTTTCTTTAGAAACTTTTAGCCTTAACTCAACTAGTTTTAGATATCCTAAATAGTTGAATTCTTTAATTTGTATTTTACGACATTCAGAGAAACCTTTTCAAGGTGACTTACAATTTTTTGCACTTTTGTTGCAGTGTTTTATGAACTCCATCCTCCAGTGTTTAAGTCACACACAACCTTTCACTGAACAACTGTCAAAAGGCTCTCACCTGAAGACAATAAACAGCAACAGTTCTATGAAGGGCAAGCTTATTCAAGGTATACCCAGTGACATAAAATGAATATCAAATTAGTCTTTGCAGTAATGAAGACTACTTAATGAGCAGTAGTGATATTAAGGCATGAGGCCCATTTCTTGAAGGTCCTGGTAACTTTACAGGCCTGGTTAGCTGTTCTGTTTTCATTCAAGATGGGGGTTTCAAAATGTTTTGAAAATTCAACAATAAATTTATCGGCTAAAGAAACAAAATGGACTGGTTAGGGTGCTGGAATCTGTGCCTCTGTTCTTAAAATTTTGATTTTAAGATCAGTGGCTTTTGGCCCCACAAGTTAATGGGACTTTTGAGAAACAGACCACTGAACAGGTATCGCAGAGGTCATGGGTTCAAATTCAGTACAGGCCTGAATTTTTTTCAGGCCTTATTTTCACTAATGCTCAAGTAGTGTACGTTACTGAGAAGATCACTTTTATATTCATTTCTTAACCTGCAGTTCACTTAAAATTATGATCTTTATACAGTCATGTATATATATTCACAGCCATCCAGTGGTTATTATAGACTGTGAGGTCAGTTTTATGGCATTGTGCATGTAATGCTGAGCAATTTCTCTATATCATATCTGTGTGTTATTTTCAATTGTCATTAATGATCTTTTCACTTCTCAGAAATTCTGTCTTGGTCACTTGTGAAAGTTTAAAGGGTTAATAGGGGAATAAATTTGCAGTAACGATGGCAATTTTTTTAAAGATGGAACCTTTTCAGTGCTTGAGATAAATGTTCTCATAGAATGATATGTGACATTACACTAAATGTCCATTTAGGTGTATTTATTGTTTGGGGAGTAGTCTGGTAGTTGGTTAGAGTGTCATTTTGTCATGAAAAAAAGCTGTAGCAAGCATTTTGATAGAACTTTACTACAAGTTTCCTTGCTTTTAGTGGCAATTTTCTTGGCAATTAAAAATGATTTTTCCCATCCCCATTCCATCATTTAAGGTTGCGTCCAGCTTTATTCTCTTGGTTTGAACATTACTTTCGCTCCGACGAAGGGCTATCGCTCGAAACGTCAGCTTTTGTAATCGTTACGGTGGCCAATTTACCATTTCAACTTTGTGTATATATCCAAATTATTACTTTCAATGAGTTTGGCTTGATTTTTTCACAGCTTTTGCAGATCTGATCAAATCTATGTGGAAGCATGGTAACGGTGATGCAGTGTCTCCCCATTCGTTTAAAACTCAGATTCAAAGATTTGCCCCTCGATTTATGGGATACAAGTGAGTTTGCTATTGATATCATTATTATTGTTGCTTTGTAGCTTCATCGGTAGTATAGCTCCCCTCCACTCCCCCCCCCCTTCCCCCAACTGGTATCTGGAAGGCACAGACTTGAATCTGCAGGTGAAATGATGTTATTATTGATATTACCATTTTGTTATTTTTATTATTATTATTATCATCATTTTTATGTGTAAATGAAGGAAGGCATCCACCTCTATGTTTCATATTTTGTGATGATCCTCTTTGTTGGAAAACAGACAATTGAAAGAGATTAAGGGAGAAGGCAATTTAATCTGAGTCAGAATGCAGAAAATAATTCTACACACAGACACACACACACACACACACACACACACACACACAAAAAAAGAAACTGAAATAGAATAGAATAGTAGCCTGTTGATGCTAATATTTTGAACTGAGATGAGAACAAATTTGGGATTTTATTTCAAATCAAACATTACTCATGTAATTGCTAACTTCCTGGTACCCTTTGTGTCATAGTTGGTATGCAGTTTGCTAAAAATATCATGTGAAATGTATGTATTATGAGGTTTAATTTTTTTAAATTAATTTTTTTTTTTGTGATATTTGCAGCCAACAAGATGCACAGGAATTTTTACACTTTCTTTTGGAAGGACTCCATGATGACTTGAATCGAGTCAAATGCAAACCGAAGTTCACTCCATGTGAATTTGATGACTCACTCAGGTAATTATCTTTTTGATATGTAACGGTGACCAGCATCTAATTTCTCCTCACAGCACCCAGAGCTAGACACTAACTTTTCAGCCTACTAGCCCCAGCCAAGTGGCTATTGACATCTTAGATGTTTTTTGACGTTACAACAATTTTATTCTGTTTCATAGGCAAACTGGCTAGTGGAAATTGAAAACCACTGGCCAAAACTGAATTTCTACTAGCCTGTGGATAGTGGGCTACCGTTATTGTTGAGCCCTGCCATCTCTCATGAATTACACATTAAGGTCAAGAGAAGAAAGGAAATGATCACCAATTAAAGAAGCTCTTGATTGTTAAACAAATTCTCCTTGTCTGCACCTTAGGAAATGTACAGAGAACAGTATGGAGAATATACATACTGATGTCAGGGTGTAAATGGGTTAACCCGTAACAAAATGACAAGGTGATATGTTGAGTGCAATACGTCATGTTTAGATTTGCCAAACCCGCGCAGTACTGGGTTTAGTTCGCATATCATGGGATGGACCATGTGCTCGAGTTTGTTGTTGACGTTTCGTTTTCGTTTTTGTCACGTTTCCATCTGGTTACAAATTTTTCAAACCAGATTTTACGATTAATACCAAACTAAACCAGATCATCTAGTCAGATCATCGTTTCGAATCGGATTGTACGGATTGAGACAATAAATGGAGTTATAGGATCCAGTTGAATATTTATTCTTCATGATATTTGTACAAACCCTGTGTTGTAGACCTTGTTTTAACCCGTTAACTTCCAGAAATGATTAACATATGACTTTTCCCTATAATATACATTTTCCAGCAGACAGGAAATGAGAATACTGAAAGTTATCAAGTAGAAGTTTTTTATCTTGATCTAACACCAAATTCTCGCAACTAATTCACAAAGAAACAAAGAGAAACTAGAGGGGAGAATAGTCCATTTTACAGTTGTGTGCTTGGTTGCCAAGCCTTTGAACGGGAGTGAGGCTAGGGGTGACCTTGTTATGATACAAACCTTGCTGCCTTTCAAATGTAAATCACTTTGTTATCATGCTAAGTAGATACAGGTCTCTATCACAACAAGGTCACCTTCAGCCTCATTCTGAATCAAAGGCGTGGCAACTAAGTACACAACGGTAAAATGGCCTATTAACAATCAGATCTTGGAATGGTTTGTCAATGGGGTTGAAGTGTGTGTGTCATTTCTTACGTCTCTTTCAAATTTTTTTTTTTTCAGTCATCAACAGAATGCAGAGAAGTCGTGGGAAAGTTATCTTTCACGCGATAACAGCTTGGTGACTGGTGAGTCATTTGAACTTATTTCTTTAGTAACATTGCAATGCACTTGCTGACGGCCCGTAATTTTAGTTGCGATCAGTTCGAGCAAGCTTAAAAAGTAACAACTTTTTCTTTTGATATATGGGCGAAATATAGAATTACCTTATAAATGGACATTTTCTCGTAAAGGATACGAAGCCCCTCTTACTTTGGAATGAACTTAACAAATCAACTGTGGTGAAGCGTGGTCTGCACTCCTGTTGAGAACGATATTCGTCATCGCAGTGGTAAAATGTTGTGCGCCTCTTGAGTCCGCAACAAATTTTGACCACTGTGATTACGAATATCCTTGTCAAAAAGAGTACAAACCAACGCTCAACCTCTGTCAAGTTGTTTTTACCACAACATCGACGTTAAATAAAACGATTCTTTCAGTGCGTGACCCGTTCACGCGAGCAGCGTTGTCTGCACACTTATCAGAACGGCAAATAGTCCATTTTACAGTTGTGTGCTTGGTTGCCAAGCCTTTGAATGGGAGTGAGGCTAGGGTTGACCTTGTTCTGATACAAACCTTGCTGCCTTTCAAATGTAAATCACTTTGTTATCATGCTAACTAGATACAGGTCTCTATCGCAACAAGGTCACCTTCAGCCTCACTCTGAATCAAAGGCTTGGCAACTAAGTACACAACTGTACAATGGCCTATTGGCCGATCAAATTGCGACATCACTGCCAATTGTGGTAAAAATTAGCTTTCTTCATTGTAAAGCAAAACAAAAAAAAATTAAATTTGAACTTGCTGAGTATCATGAGAAACAAGTTGTCGCTAGAAATATGAACTTTGCAACACTTCTGAAAATAGCGCCGTCGGTCTATTCAAGCCCTGTAACCCAACGGTTATTTTCTAACACTAAAGCTTCGAGAAGATTAGCAACCCACATGGTATGTGGAACAAGGAGCCCTGTGGAATTTCAATGCCAGGGAATGTTAATAGTCGTCGAGAATACTATTTTTGCCATTAACAGGATGAAAAGAAATGTTCCAGAGTTTGAGAGTAGTTTGTAAGTTTGTGATATTCATTGCTTTTGACCGTTGTTCTTCCAGATCTCTTTGTGGGACAGTTGAATAGCATGTTGAAATGCTGTACTTGTGGTCACACATCAGTAACTTTTGACCCCTTTTGGGATTTGTCACTTCCCATACCAAGAGTAAGTTGCTCAACAGATTTTGGAAAAAAAAAAAAAATTTAACTACCAAAAAAAAAACAAAACTTTAAAATCTCAAATATTCGTCAATCTCCCGAGTGAATGGAAACTACTACCATTTGTTTTGATAAAAGTTTCTTCTATCGGACACATGTTGTCCTTTGGACAAAGGCTTGGCACCAGATTTTTGCTAAATATTTTCTCTTTTTAACCCTAGAGTCAAATTCTGGTGCACTATTACTTAACATACAAAGTTTCTAACCCAAAAACGTTTAATGAAGTAAACTGATATTTAAGTCGAGAACATGTAAGATAATGCTTCCAAATCTGCTCGGCTCTTTCTCCTTGATCTGCTTTTAAATTTTTGAGGGAAAACTGAGGGAGAAACAGCAGATAAACGCCATATTTGTGTGACCACGACTCGACTATTTCCATAATATTTTTCTTCAGAAATCCCGCCATGCATCATCCTCTCCATCGTGGTCTGTAAGGCGATCCAGTGGGGGAGATTACCACGAGATTACGCTTAGGGACTGTATACTTTCCTTCACCAAAGAAGAAGTCTTAGACGGCGATGAAAGACCAGTAAGTAAAGAAACAACAATGCCTGTAGTTTTCAGGGAAAATCAGTTTCCTTATGGCGACCCCAATAATTATGGTTCAGTTTTAATTTCCATTTTCCACATTTATTTTTTTAAGTCCGGGAAGAATGTTATTGATTTTCTAAAGCATAATCATTTGCCTTTGCCTTTTTCACGGCCGGGGCTCAAAACTGATATCCTTGGACTCGAAAGGAGTAGGTATATTCGTTGTGCTAGGTACGCAGCGCGTACGAAGTGGCGATTGTATTAATGCACGTTTGATGCACATTCAAAACGTGTACATATTCTATTCATTTCCTCCCCAAGTCCTCCTTTTGTCACAGTTTTGGCATCGACAAGAGCTGTTCAGTAACTCATTGCTTTTTTGCTACAATACTCTACAACTATGCAACAGTAGGCAGATGCAGTCAAAGACTGCCTTTTATTCCTGGAAGTTGTTCTTTACAGTTACCCATACCAGATCACAATACACATATTGACTTTTAATCTCCAACCATTTGATATATGAATATATAGGGGTAAGTTTCCAAAGAAACTGTGGTGCTGCGTCGGGGGAAGTAACAAGGTGATTTGGGTTTTATAAACTGAGTTGATAATGTAGATTGGCCGCCGTAAAAAGTTTCAAAGCTGACGTTTCGAGCGTTAGCCCCTCGTTAGGACGAAATGACGAAGGGCTAATAACGAAATGACGAAATGCTCTGACGTAGGGGTAACGTTCAACGTCGACTTTGGAACTCTCTACGCAGTTGATAAAACCAATTGAAAATTACATTCGATATATCTTTTTCTCTTTCAGACTTGCGAGAATTGTAAGACCAAGAGAAAATCGACGAAGAAATTTTCCATACACAGATTTCCGCCAATCCTTGTTCTTCGTATCCTTTCTGTGTTTAAATGTTTTGATTTTGCCTACCTTACGATGAAAACCTCGATTTGGGGGGCTTTCTTGGAAAGCGGAAAAACTCCCCTGTGTAGAGGTGTCCCCACAATGAAGGTTATGAGTAATAAGTCTTTCAGTTGAGACGCAAGTTTGTCCTTGGAGGTGCCTTTAGAAATAGGTTGCATCGCACCATGTAGAAAGCAACATAGTGGCTGATTGTTTGATTTGCAGTTTTATCTTAGTTGAACATGTATTTTAAATTTTGATATTGACAAACTGGGCATCAGGTTAGAAATATGGAAAAAGTAAGGGTTTTTTTTTTTCAATTTTTGTGTCTAAATCAGTGATGAGATTTGACCTTAATGTTCATTTAAACAGATTTAAAGAGGTTTTCAGGTTTCAGTTTCCGATCCAAGCTACAGACGAATGTAGAATTCCCGTTAAACGATCTGGATCTCACTGAATTTGCTGCCGACAACCAAGGTAAGAACATCATGATTATTTCGTTCTGTTCGAAAGTTCCTCAGCTGATGAAGAAATAGAACACTTGTTAGGACGCTGGATGAGCCCATTGAGCACTGACAATTTTGAAAGTTCTGCAAAATGGTTGTCTACGCCGGGGTCCGTACATGCACGATTCGACAAAATTTGCCACTTATTTAAATGTAGAATGAAAACCAATCTTAATACTAATAATGATAGTAATAATAATAATAATAATAATAATAATAATAATAATTTTTTTCTGTTCAGATTTGACTCCGTTATTTATAGTTTTCTAGACACTTTGACATTAAAAAAAAAGGAGTAGATGTGAGCCGAAAGTGAGTTATTTTGGATCGTTTTTTACGCTGTTAACATTTTGTATTGTAGAGGATTTTATGGAAATTATTGCTAAATAAAGTACAGTTATTTTTAATAATGACTTTATTTCAAAACTTAAAACATTACAATGACTTCGCGTGGGTAATGGTTTTTCCTCTCGTACATTTCCAAATTAATTGATACGGAACACATCTGACTCGTATCAGACCTAA